CTTTCTACGAAGGCCCCCTCACGGGCTTCAACTTGCTAAAGCAGCTGGCCAGCTACAAGCGGGACTACCTGCTTCCAAGGCCACGATGCGACTACGCCAGCTTCGAGAAAAAAATGAGCTATGGCGACGCGATGGTGGCCACAGGGGCCCTGCTACTGGGGGCACTGCCCCGGGTAGGCCAGCAGCCTGCCTATAGCCTTGAAAGAAAGAAGAAGAGAGGGAAGAAGGGAATTTCCTGTGCCCTGAAAAGTTATGAAGTAAACGTGTAGTGAGTGTTTGGTGAGTGTTTGGTGTGTTATGCGGGGAAGGCAATTGTCAGTATTCCGGGCCTATGGAGGTGACTTGTGCGAACTGGATTGGCTCGGCCTCGGAGTGTAAACCTGGCATGCTCTTTCAGGGGTAGGCGTGGCCAGTAGTAGAAGAAGAAGGAGAGAGAGAGAGAGAGACTCATGACAGCGCCCCTTGTTGCAAACAGAAATATGCCAACAACCGCACTCACTTGCGCATTAACCTAGAGTCCTAGAGCACCATGCCAGGATTTTCTTGCTGCTTTCCGAGCCCGTCCGGGATGGGCAGCCGTATCGACCGCGCTCCAATGGAGCCACCAAAAGGAGTGCTGGCTAGATCTGGCTAGGTTATGCTGCGTTCAGTGTCCCAGTATGATGCATTGCTGGCATCCTACCCAGCTGTGCTCTCCACCGCATGTTGCCCCCCAACGCTCTGCAACCCAAACTTTGTCCGGCAATCCCCAGTACTACCCTCACTCCTTTGTTTAGGGTAACTGTCTGTTCAAAGCCGCCCATGCGACGACCTGCCACAAAAGCTGCATTGGTCCGGCGGCACTCTTCCTCTGTGAAGGCTAACTAGCAAAAGCAAGACCACACACTAACATACCGCCATAGTCAAGTTTTGGCGGCACTCGACAGCGCACTCAGAGCAGTCACTTCTCGTTGCGGAATCTCAGCAACTCTCAGTCCGTGTCCGAGATGGAGTCCCTTTCGACTTGAAGGGCTCTGGCTAGTTGTTCCTCAAAGTCTTCATATGCAGCTGCAATCTCTGCCTCCTCGGCAGCCTGTGCCAGCATGTTGATTTTGTCTTGACTTTCGCCATGCATTTCCTCACTTTGCCGTATCCACTCTGCTTCCTCAGGGGTCTAGTCTCCCCAAGGAGATCCTTTCCGAACCATGCCATTCCATTGGTGCGTGTATGCCTGGGATGGTAGCTTGCAGCAGGAGCTTGTGTGTGCGTGAAGTGGCGTGGCATGGGGCTACAGACGGCACTTGGGACCTTGGTGGGCCGACGGGAGTCTGTGGCACCTGCGCCGGATTGAGGCTTTGCCTCAGCATCCTCCTTTGGGGCTGAAAAAAAAAGACGTGCGGGGGTCCCAATGTAGCTGAGCATTCGGCGATGGGATTATGTACGGATGTGGGCCCTTGACTCGGGGACCTTTGTTCGCGAGTGGTAGTAGTGGTAGTAGTAGTNNGTAGCAGCAGTAGTAGTCGTCGTCGTCGTCGTCGTCGTCGTCGTGGTCGTGGTCGTGGTCGTGGTCGTGGTCGTGGTCGTGGTCGTCGTCGTCGTAGTGGTAGTAGTAGTAGTAGTAGTAGTAGTAGGAGTAGTCGTGGTGGTGGTGGTAGTAGTAGTAATAGTCGTAGTAGCAGTAGGAGGCGCCCTTCTGCAAGGCCCTACGTTTTCCTTTCATTCATTGTTCGGACAATGGGTTGGGAATGGGGGAGGGGGGCGGAGTAGTTCCGTGCAAACGAACCTCAATCGGTAGGTAATTCTGAGATGTCGCCGCTGGTGGAGTTTCGACGACCACAAGAAGCGATTGCGCTGGGAGTGACAGCCTGCACCCATCAACAGTGATAACATCCAAAGATGTAACCACGTAGAGCCCCTACAAAATGGCCCCTGTAATTCACTGTTGCTAGGTCCGGGCAGCAACCACTAGCGCACGCGAGTGGTAAGCACTACGGAGAAGTGATGCTCAGATGTCGCCGCTGGTGGACTTCTGACGACGGCAAGAAGCGGATGTGCTGGGAATGGCAGTTGTGCACTGGCGCCATGATGAACTTGCCGCAGCGCGTAGATGTTACGCTCAGACGCGCATCTACGACAGTGCGCAGGTGAAAACCCGGGCGTCCGAAGTACCAGTTTAAAGAGATTACTACATAGAGCCCTTACAAAATGGCCCCTTCAACCCACTGTTGCTAGGTCCGGGCAGCAACCACTACATTAACATTACTACTGCTACTAGCCGCCTCCTCGGGGAATTTAAGATCAATGTTAAGTAAAATGCAGTGCCCAGGAAGCTAGCAGCAGTAGCAGTCAAGGGTTGGGTTTCTCTTGTATCATTTCTGCGCATTTTGACTGGCCTAAAGTTCTTAAAGCCGAATTCTTGTGACATGCTAGCATCACAACCCCGCGTACCTAATGCATGAAATACAGTAGGTTCCCCCGGACTCGGCTCACAGCGGCCATCGGACAGTGGATGCAGAAAACGCATGGACAAATGGGACGCAGCAAGTTTCAGATTTGATAGTTGTCAAGCCTCGAAAGCCAACCCGGCAATACAGGCCCTTTCATGGAAGATTCTGCTCATGGTGCGAGAGGGTGGCATGCAAAAACTCGAGCCAAAGACAAACGAAGAAACATCACTGATAGTGCCATGCAGAACGTAGACAGGGAACATTCTGCATCCTTTGGTGACTTGTTTCGTAAGCCATGGCATGACAGGAGCGCAGATCTGCTGGGGTCAGAGCACGGCCCTTCATGCATCGGGGTTGGATGTGGCAAGGACCTGTGCGGCAAGTTCTGCTCGTGAGGCATGGGCAGAGCTTGCAGCCCGGCACAATCTATTCCTACTCGCCAAGTAGTCATCTGTGTATCGGCATCTGGCTGGCAGAATATCAGTTTTCAGCAGGCACAACGCCGACAAAGACAACGTCAGCATCGATCCAGCCTTGAGCGATTCCGGGCTGTTGCAAGCCATGCGTTACTGGGGTGCAGAGAGCAGAATTGATTTGCGGAGAGTTCTTTTCTTCAATAGAGCAGCCAGGCCAGCATTACAGCAACTTGCGCTTTGGAAGCCCTGGTGACACAATTGAATTGCATGTGTCTTCCCCGTGTGCGCACCAAAAAAATGTACCTTGAGCACGTTATTATTGGGAACAAGAAGTAGGACGGCGGCGACGACCACGGAGGTAGTGGTAGTGGTATCACTATTAGGACTACTACTGCTACTACTACTACTACTACTATTACTACTACTACTACTACCACTATTACTACTACTACTATTACTACTACTACTACTACTACTACTACGACTACTACTACGATTGCTACTCTGCTACTGCTATTGCGACACCTGCTGCTACCATGACTACGACCATTAATACTATAACAAAACACTGTCAATGGCGGGGATGTTGCAGAACCCAAGCAAGATCGAGTTGTGGTGCAAGCGTGGCTGAAGCTACAATTGCCAAATGTTGTAGATACCATTACTTCTTGCATGTTCGCACTTCGAATGGAAGTTGCTATGCCCTCCCCCAAACCTTCAAAATGCCCCAAACCCCAAACCTTTGCAAAACCCGCCCCCTCCCCTCAAACAACTTCAACAACCCCAACCAGTCTAAACAGCCCGAAACACGAAGCCCCGAACCCTGAGAAGCAAATAAGCTGAGACGCTAAACTCTAAAATAATCCCAAACCTTCGACAACCCTAAGCGCTAAACCCTTAACAGGCCCAAGCCCTAAACCTTAACCATTTCCAAACTTTAGACAACCCGAAGTCTTAAACCTGGGCTTATCGCCCGCGGCGTGAAGATGCTCTGAAGGGACTTGTTGGGGATTTCTCAAGGAGCTTGATTGTTTGACAGGAAGGTTGAAGTACCCGAGATGTTAGCCTGCGCAGCATTTCGGCAGGTTGCAGGCATGAGGAGTTCGGGTGCTTGATGGTGTTACCTGTTGAGAATGTCGTGAAGAGACTTGAAAGGAGTTGCCCTGCTCAGGGCGCCTGGGCGCTGGCAGTAGTGTAAAATGACACAATTGTTTCGTCCCGGCTGCGGTGTTACGGGTTCAGCCAGTTCAGGCGAGAAAAACCTTCTGCAGGCCGCCACGTGTCTTCTTCTCTGAAAGCAGCTAAGGCCTTAAGCGCTTGTACCATGCCCGGCCTATTGGCTAGCCTCACCAGCTTGAACTGGTGGGACGTAGCTTGGACTAATGGCAACAATCCTTGGACTAATAGGAAAGATCATTGGACTCATTGGGTGATGATAAAAGTTTAATCAGAACTCCTCACTAACTTGGACTGGTGGGGCGTAGCCTTGGGCTGATGGGAACGATCTTTCGCAAGACCCTCACACCCAGCAAAGCAGCCGACGCCAATGCTTTTGCAGCAAACCCCGGCGATTGGGTCTAAATCCTGAACGGCATTGATGCCAGGCAGAGAACATTCATTTGAAAATATGTAACCTTTTAAAGAAATCAGGCTGCAAGTGCTAAACAATTGGGGAGGATGTTGTTCGCCAATTGTTTAGAAAAGCGCTTTGCAAGCAGTAGTTACTTCCAAAGAGTCAGCCCAACAAAATGCCCTGAATGTGAAGCGGATCAATCACGTGGATGTTTCTCAAAATATGTTTCCGTGTGCATGTGCGCATGTGCAAATTTGCATATATGTACGTGCGTATTCCTATAGTCATACGAATACGTACGTATATGTATATGTCTATGTATGAGTGTATGTAGATGGCTGTCTTATGCATTTACGTACGTACGCACGAACGCGCGAACGCATGCACAGATGCGCGAACGCATGCGCAGATGCATGCATGCATGCATGCATGCATGGATGGATGGATGGATGGATGGATGGATGGATGGATGGATGTGTATCATCGTCGCCTGCACTGGTTGATGATGAACTTCTGCAAGGGATATTAAAAAGATAAACTAGGCTGAAGACTTGCATGCAAAGGCACATCCAGATGTAAGCTCAGGCTTACATGGCCTCCCTATTTTGGCTGATTGTGAGCTCCTGGTCGTCTCACCCCTCAGCGCCAAGGTTGCATCAGATCAGTGTGTGCGTGTCACATGCACGCAGCGGTTTGAAGAGAAGCCAGAGGTCGGGCAGTGCAAACAGCAGCAGCGGCTTTTGGAGAACATCCAGCTTGCCGAACGGTCTTGACTGCATTGCACACTGAGCGAAGCTTGGCTTGAAGCTGGTGTCATGAAGTTCATTTCTTAGCCCAGCTTTTGTCTTTGTAAAGAACATAGCTCAATGGGATGACACATGCTTTGTTCAAGCGCTGGCCTGGGTGCCGAGACTAAATCATGTGGCAGAAGGAGGAATCAACTTGGTCCAGATGCACATTTTTGGCAATATTGTCATCATTTCAAAATCAAGTAGCTGTGCCCAGCCCATGATGAAGGGCCAACAAATCAACACTTGAGGGCGCGAGATGACACATCAGGAGACAAGACACGTGACACGGCGCGAGACACGACACGAGACACGACACGAGTACAAGACATGGCATAAGGACACAACAGCTGCCAGGATTCAGTGCTTGTTGAGAGTAGGAATTGAAGGTTCACGTCCTTTCACAAATGTCTAAACTGTGCGGTCTTTTGCTAGGCAGTCAAGACACAAGTGCTATTGTCCTTATTGATGTCCATTGGCCACAAATCTGGGCCCCTGATTGGACCTCCAATGCAATGCTATGGCGGAATGCTTCCACTTGCTCCAGAACTTTCTTCCCAGTTGCCCACTTGCTGTTGTGGGTCTTGCCCAAAAGAACTTGCATGCCCGAGAGGCGCATCCGCATACCTTCTGGTGCAAGGGTATTCCACCATGGGCCTGTACTACGGTCTGAACGCTCCGGGCGCGTGAGGCTCTTCTTTCTCCCATGCTTTTGCAAGCTGGGGACGCCTGCTGTCAGCTTCTGTGCAGCGGGTGGGGCATCACAGCCTTGCCTGCTTCCTGGACCAAGCTTCGACGTGCCTGATGTGCGAGGACGCCGGCACGACGCTTCAGAGGGCTGGCGCGGTAGCCGCAATGTCGCATTGTGAGCCGCGTCAGTGTGCTGTCCTCGTCCTCGAAGATGCGGTGGGCAAGACACTCCCGTTCGTGAGGAAGTCATCCACCTATTCTTGTGCACCGTCAGCTCGCTCGCACCGAGTTCAGAGACGGCTGGAACCTTGGGGCCAACAGCTGCCCTTGCGGGGCCACCATGGCATTTCAAGATGCGCGCAATTTAAACTGGCCAAATTTTCGCCGCACGACGGTCATGGACAGCTGCGGGATGTTGCCATCCGTGTGGGTGCGCCACTTCGCAAGTCAGCAGCCCGCCCCCACCCAACCAACAACGGTAGATCCGCAACCTGGTACCAGGGGCTATCCCAGACATCCCATGCATGCGAGCCCAGCTTGCGTGACAATTCTTGCACCACTTTTATGACGTAGATTTCTTACGGCCCTGTATGCCCTTTGTAACATTGGCATTGAAAGCCTCCAGAAACAAATTTGTTCCAATGACGGAAATCTTACACCGCGTAGGTTGTGCAAGATTTCCTCCATCCACCGTTGAGCCATCGGAAGCCGGCAATTGAACTGCTGCCAGCACTGTTTGTCATAACGTGCGCCAGCTTCCCCACAGTCATGGCCAAAGATCACAATGCTTGCGCTAGGCCACCAAACGCACACAGCGGATCCCGAGCTGCGGCGAGTCCGGCCCTGCAAGCTCGTTGTATTTGGTGTTGAGCATGGCGCCCACAGCACGTTGCCGCTGTTCCAATGAGTGCCAGATATGGTGTGGGCATATCGCTGCACCATTGGTCCACTGCGCTGTGGTCACCTTCTTTCGTGATATGTCCCAACAACAGCCGTGCGTGATGACGTCAAGGCAGTTGACTCTGCAAATGCAAGCCCACATGTAGGACCCTGGAGCACAGCGTCCCGTGATGATGATGCGCTACGTGACCTTGCATTTGTACAACCCGTGCGCGGGAACAGAGATGCAGTGCCGCGTGATAGCTGACCATGCAGCTTGCGTTGATCCCTTGAACTAATGGTGCCTTTCGCCCCGCATACACCTTCAGCATCCTTGCGAGCCACACAGGAGTGCAGAATGCGCCATGCGACGTAGCTGCTACGCTTGAAATGAACATGCAACGTCGTGTTTCTCATTGGTCACAAGGTTGTCGTTTTTCCATGGGCGCAGCGCCTTCAACACAAGTTGCTGTCAACACGGGCGGATGCAAAGATGTGCAAGTGAGCCAGCCCGCTGAAAGCATACAGGGGACCGCTGAAGCTGTAACGATTTTCACTTAATGTGCGGTCTTAAGCGGGCAAGTGCAAGCACGCACGGTCGTAGCAATCTATGGTGTCCTTGCTGACGTGCTATATTCGAAGTATGTTAGTCTGAGGGCCACAGTTCATATTGGCATGTTTCCAGCTTTAGGGTTTGGGGCGGTTGGCGCAGTGCCTTTTTTTTTTTGTACTCCTTCCACGGCGAAGGCAGGCCCTATAGCAGAGGTTCAGGGGTAAGAAGGCAGTTTGTCATGATCAGTTGCCAAAAGCATTCACAAGATCCATGTTTCCAGGACCTTCAGTAGCGGGCATTTGCCAGCTGTTGCAGGCAGAAACGAGCTTTTGCCACTTCTATTTTTGAGTTGTAACGGGCGGTTCCTTGGGCTATGACTTGGGCGTTCGCCTGTAGCTATGTGGTGCGATTTTGGCGTGATCGACGCAGCACCTTTGCGCATCCCCCGGAACATGCAAATGTCATCCTGCCAAAGAAAACGGTGTCTCCATCATTTTAGCCGACCTGAAAACTGCTTCGCAACATTGCAGCTTGGACAAGGCCCCCGGTTGTGACAAGGTTCATTACAAAGCCTGATGCCTGGACATTGAATTTTGGCAGGACTCCATCTCACCAAGAAATTGGAGCTCTGTCCCACGTATGCTTGCCTTTGCTTGCATAACCTCGGTGTGGAAGCATGGAATAGTTGTGCATTTTGCAAAAGCATCGAATACAAATACTCGTTATGAGAGACATGTCCTTGAACGATCATGGATCAAGGTCAGAAGATGAAAGCAAATGACCACAGTACATGGTATGAACTGCCACGAGGTAACAAAAGTGAACAACAAGCAAGCATGAAGCTGAGCAACAACAAAAACCTGCTATGACAAAGATTCATCACTCATCGTTCGTGTGGGCTTAGCATGTATATTCCATACGCTTCTACTTCAGCTATTTAATCACACATTTCAACAGCAGCACGCATCAGACGCAAACTGCACGCTTTGGGCGATATCTCTGTCTGTCTTGACGTTTGTATCTTTGTCGAACAAATTTTTTGGGGACATGGAGCTGTGCCGGGATCTGCTGATCCATCCTTGGCTTGCACGGGCATCTGCTGAGCAAGCAAGCAAAGTGTGCGCCAAGAAATCCGCGCCAGTAGCGCAAAAAGCGACAAGGGACCGGGGCAACCACTTGGCAGCACATTGCAATGGCAGGCTGAATGGCGATTACCGAAACAGTCATGACCACCGCCGCCAAACCCCAGTACCTCGCTGTTAGTGCTGACTCGCGGCGTCCATAGACAACGCTTTTTAGTTTGGCACCGATTGCCGCTGCGCATATGCTTGCGACCGGTTGGACAAGTTGTTTTCAGCTTGCCTAACCAGTCCTGAAGTTGTGACGGCGAGCAATAGTGCAGATGCCACAATCGGCGTTCGGGATGCTCCAAGCAGTCGGCCTGTTAATGACAGAATACACCCAGGGATGGGACTGGGGTTTGGCATACCGTGGAATCGTGCAATGCAGTCATGACATGTTTTGAGATACACTCAAAACACATGCCGACAGGCAGGCCGCTTGGCGTAAGCGTCGGGTGTCAGCCTCATGCCAATCAAGCTCTTTCCACGGCAACGCTAGGGCTGCCTCGCAGCATTAGAGTAAACGTCGACCTAATTGATAAGAGTCAGAGACCATGTAAATTGAGGGTTGGGGTCAATCAACTCCAACCCAAAACACACGGACAGGCAGACAGATCTGGAAGATGCCGAACGAAGCGGAGCTGGCTCCCACCCAGGAAGGACATGCCCTATGTGACCAATTTGAATTTGCCGCGGCGCAAAAGTGGGTCCACATGAGCATTCCACGTCGAGCGCCCATGTAAGGTAACATCAAGGTACATATGTGTGTTCACACGTGGCAGCGCATATTCACCAACATGAAGCTGAGGCACGGCAGCAAGCCCTCATCCAAACAACATGATGGCAGATTTTGCCGGCCCCTCGCTGAATTGAAAACGCCACGCGTGAGTCCACGCATGAGCTCCGTCCAACGCGCTTTGACAATGGATAGCCGATAGGGTGATCGCACAACACAACGATGTCATCAGCACACAGTGCGGAGCATGCGGGGCAGGTCCGCAAAAAATGCTGTGACAGTGACAGGCACGTTTGACTGCAGCAGCGAGACCATTGATAAGGCTGTTTAAGAAAAAACAATTAAAGCCGCCCCCAGCCGTATGCCAGTCACGTTGGAAAAGCAGGCAACAAAATGTCAAGTTGGACTTCGCAAGCACGGCGCCAGCCAGTGGGCTGCCACAAATGAAGCGGGCCATCAGGTGCGCTGCCTTTGGCAGCATTGGGGGCGGCCTAGGCAAGGGGAAAGGGGACACGGGACAGCAAAAGCAGGCGGAAACAAAATTAAACACACAGGAACAAACAACAGCTGAGACGTTGGTCACGATGTCATTCACAAGGTGCACGATTCCAGACGGTGCTGCAACCCTTTGTAATTTCAATGAAACCCCCTTACAAAAGGCTACGTCAAAGGAAGGCGGACTGCAAGGCTGCTGACGCGTAGCCGTGCACGTCCCATGGCGGTGGACAACGACAGATGTCCGGAAGCGACGGAAAGCGTGCGGAAGCAATAACAAGATGTGAGTGCTGCCACAGACATTATCGCGTTCGGAAACGCGGCCACACGCGTCGTCGTTGTCGGTTGTAGGGTGAGGCCTGAAAAGATCCCCGTTCCGGCTGAAGGTAGAGGTTTGCGTGCATCGTCACGCGGGTCTGCACATTGAAAGCTCTGGGCTGAAGAGTGGAGGTGGGATGAGGGAGAGAAGAGGTACGGGAAGGCAAGAAGAACCAGCCGGGAAGAACTAGCAACCGCAGCACAAGGGAGG